AATTCAAAGATTAAGGACCTTAGCTCGTATATTAGGAGAGGACTGATTGTGATGTCACATAGTGTTAGCAAAATGTGGAAGAAGCTGATTTGAACAAATAAGATACATCTAAGCTAACTGGAGCCAATTTCCTTGATGATGAGTATTTTTTTCCTGACGGCATTAGCGTTGCGTGGTAACTGAGGCAGACTGTTGCTAAGATGGTTGCTAAGGAAAATGAAGGCATCAACCCTTATATGGCTCATATCTAGCGGGTTAGCAGTGTTCATCTATATACCGCAGGGGTATCTAAACTATAGGTCGGGAGAAACCAGTACCTCGCCAACCCTGTACAAGTGGTTCTCCAAAGCATTGAGAAGAGACAAATATGCTGAATAATTTTACATTAAACAACTATCAAAAATTATCTTTTTGGTGCACGATACATTTTAATAGCTTGTTGTACGGTGTGTGCCTGTAAGACGAGACTGCAAAAGCCCAAAAAACAAGTTTTATACAGGATATTCAACACATTCAACACATTGAAAACATCTATTTAGCCCTTTGACCTTTTGATTTCAAAATGTCTACTGGTCCTGCAGCAAAATCATAAAAAGTCAACAACAAGGTCTTTTGCAAAAAGAAGCTTTGTTTCATGTGTGCGGGACCAGTAGGCATAAACCCTAATCAAAAGGTCAAAAGGGCAAAGATTTTTTCAATGTGTTGAATGTGTCGAATAGCCAATATATACTGACTTTATCGCAGTGAATTTAATGTAATAAAGACTAAAGCTGCTTGTCCAATAAAACACATTTTGTTTTAAGGCCTTGCTTACTTCTATGCGTCGGCTTTCTCTCGGGCAGCACGGTTGCTGAGTGGTTAGCACTCTCACTTCTCAGAAAGAAAGTCCTGGGTTCGAATCCTGGTCGGAACACGGCCTTTCTGAGTGGAGTTTGCATGTTCTTTGCGTAGGTTTCCTCTGGGAGCTCCAGTTTCCTGTCACTAAAAACAAGTACAATAGGTCTGCCCACAATTGTCCATCTGTATACAGTCTATGTTAGCATTGTCCATCTGTATACAGTCTATGTTAGCATTGTCCATCTGTATACAGTCTATGTTAGCATTGTGCATCTGTATACAGTCTATGTTAGCATTGTCCATCTGTATACAGTCTATGTTAGCATTGTGCATCTGTATACAGTCTATGTTAGCATTGTCCATCTGTATACAGTCTATGTTAGCATTGTTCATCTATATACAGTCTATGTTAGCATTGTCTATCTACATACAATGCAAGTAGCAAGTTATTTAAAGGAAGAATGAATATGTCGTTGAACTCTTGAGCGAGAGCCGGCACCTGAACTGAACACGTATGTAAATGTTTAAATGGTGAAAGCTTATGATGCCATATCTGCTTATTCCTGTGTTATGTAAAAGACAGGGAACGGGGCCAAGTGTGAGACTCGGGTTGTGATGCTGTTGCATAAGACTCTTTTCGGACACATGTCAGTGTATAGAGACAGAGGGGATTTCTGCTCACTTGTTTAAGCTGTCGTCACCGCTTTGTGTATTTTTTGAAATGCTGTGACTTTAGTGCAAACATTATAAATTGAATGAAGTTCCCGCCTGCCTGCCTTTGCTATAATGTTGTTGCTAACTACAGTTGTTCATTAAAGCTGGGGTGCTTAACTTTTTCAAAAATAACTATTAACTATACTATATTGATAATAATAATGCAAGTTCCCATTGCCCCAACAGAGAGAGTCCTGTTTCCTCCAGCCCTGCTCTATTTGGCTCTACTCTACCTGGTTGTGTTTCCATTACTTTCTGTAGTATCTGGTACCGTATCCTAGCAACCTACCTACAACAAACCAGTATCCAGGGAAATTCCTAGGTAACCATGGCCCTTGCAGTAGCACTCTGGCCAATCACTGTCAGTTAGAACACAGCTCGGCCCGCATAGAAATACCCAGTAACGGGTAAAAAGGGCCAGTGGGAACGCTTCCATTCAGGGTAGAGTAGAGCCGAGTAGAGTAGAGTAGGGCCAAGTAGGGTTGGTGGAAACGGGGCTAAAAAGTAAAATGTTGTGAACAAATCAGACCACAACATACCGTAACAAGTTTGTATACTTGTCATAAAGAGCCCAGTGAGTCACTATGTACTAGTCTTATAGTCTTGGGCTGAAAAAATAAAAATAAAATTAATTTCACTTATCCGTCTGAAAAAGCTGTGACAGATGCAAATACTGTCCAGGAGATAGAAAAAAGTGTTTTGAGAGCGAGAAACTTCATTTTTTGTGGTTTTGTGGTGAAAGTTGGGTACCCCAGCTTTAATCTGCACAGTCTCTGTCAACCATCTGACAGAATAATTGACCTTGGAAGTAAGATGTATTCCTATTTTTCATTATTTCTTTTCATTTGCAGTAATTGCTGGACTATAAACCACCTAGCAGCGCTATTCCAAGTTCTTAACTCTGAGTCCAATGTATGTATTTTAATATTGTCAGAGTGCCCCCTGGAGTACAGGAAGAGACAGACCTCTACCAGCTGTTGATCTCCAGAGCTGATGATGTCACACACATTCCTCATTCAGTGTGTTTATGTGAACTTGTGCGGTTGATACAGGTGCGCTTGATTGTCCAGCAAGTACCACTATCGGATCAACAATAGTCATAATATACATTTCTCAAAACATAATCCCATTGGTTTAGCTCAAAATTATCCCTTAAACGTAATTGGAGAGTTTAAAGTGGGATTTCACGTAAGGCTTTGTTTATAATGTCATTATCTGCGTCACCTGTTGATGGGGCAGATGCTGACGGACCAGATGGAGTGACGATGGTTGGTATTTAGGGATCAAAACCTGTGATCTAACATTATTGTAAGTGAAAAAGGCAATCCCTAGTTTGGACTGATGCCTGCTGGGTGCGGCGTCTGGCACCGGAGGTCACATTCAGTAAAACATCAGCAGCTTTTCTGAGCAAATCTATCCCAGGTTACCTCTCCGGGAAACTACCAAGTGTCTAGGAGTGAAAATTGACCTAGACTTAGATTTTATCAGACACATCAAATCAGTGACATCAGCAGCTTTTTACCATCTGAAAACCAAACCAAAATATAGTGTCAAACGTAGACTTGGAGATTGTTATCCTGCATATGTCTCCAGTAGGTTAGACTACTGTAATGGCTGCTCACTGGTCTCTCCAAACAAGCAAATTGCAAAACGGTTTATACAAAACTGGCTAGAACCAGGAAGTACAATCACATTAGTCCAGTTCTCAGATCTCTGTCCTGGCTTCCTGTGGCTCAGAGACTTTAAAGCAGCTCTATTTGTGAACAAATCTCTCCATGGCCTCGCATCAAGAACATTTGTGACATATTAGTCCCATATGAACCAACTTGGACTCTGAGGAGCACAGGGACTGGCCTAATGCTGGTGGAGGCCATAACATGGAGAGGCAGCGTTTCAGATTTTTGCGGCTAAAATCTCAAACAGTCCTCATGAAAATGTCAGACTGTGTGACATTGTGTGATTGTTTCCATCTGGCGGCACGGTGGCTGAGTGGATAGCACTCTCGCCTCTCAGCAAGAAGGTCCTGGGTTCGAATCCCGGCCGGACCAGGGCCTTTCTGAGTGGAGTTTGCATGTTCTCCTCGTGTCTGCGTAGGTTTCCTCTACCACTAAAAATATGTACAATAGGTCTGGCATGCGCCTCCTGTACTGGCGACCCCGCTCCCATCTCTGTGTGGAGTGAGAGGACAAGTGCCCAAAAAATAATAACAATTGTAAACCGCTTTGTGACTCTGGTCTGTGAAAGGCGGTATATAAATAAAGCTTACTTACTTACTTATGCACCTTGAGTTGTCTTGTGTATTAACTGTGCTGTACAAATTTTGCCACGCCTTAACTAATACTTAGGCAAGACAACTCACCCACATTGCCTAATAAGAGTCAGGTGTGTGTATGGATGGTTGGTGGTGGTCAGAGGGGACAATGGCACATACTGGTTGCTTCGCTTTCCCCCAGGGCAGCTGTGGCTTCAGTAGTAGTTTATCCCTAATATGTTTGGAGTGAAAGAATAATGCAGTGGAGCATCTTTGATTGTTCAAAAAAGTGATTCATAAAACGGATGCATTATTATTATCATGAATAATGTGGGCTAAAACTAATCATGGCTAGTATTAAATATCCACCTGTGTCTGTCTGTGTGCTCCAGACCAGGGCTTTTGAAGAGCCCATGATAAAGGTGTCCAGCGGTGACAGTAAAAGTCACTTAAGACGTGTCCACGGCATCAGACGGTTTCATATTCATCGTGCAGTCTCAGGTTCGCCGGCCCTTTTCTCTCACGACTGAACCTGCACGCTGCACTTACTGCTGAGACACTTCATGAGAAAGGCCGCACAAAACTCACTTTATAACCATGGTATCTATTGCCGTTGACTGTCACGACTCATTAATCTTGCTGAGGTGGTACTTACCAGCACATGGCGAACGAAACATGAGCCCTGTCTCCATTAACTGAGCCCAACTGAAGCAGTGACGGATGTGATAATATACCTGTAGTGCTAAATAGTCTGTCTGGTTTACTCTATAGACTGTATACAGATGAACAATGCTAACATAGACTGTATACAGATGGACAATGCTAACATAGACTGTATATAGATGAACAATGCTAATGTAACATACTGTTTAGGATTTTACATCAGGCAGTTAAGTGGCCACCCTTGGTTATGTTGTTATGATTTGAATGTGAGAAATAAAGCCAGAGCCGGTACGGCTGCAGTTGGAAAAGCGTCTCTCATGTGTGCTCTCAGAGCTAAATACATTTTTTACAACACTACCTAGACCTTCTCGGTTACATTGGTGGCAGCGGTGGTTCTTTTTTTTTTTTTTTTTGTTTGCCCATCCAGAAATGTTTTTCTGTTGCTGAATCAGCGTTTATTTAGCAGTTAAAAAGTTAGCTAGTTGTGTGAAGTTTAGCTAGGCAGTTGTGTGCTTAGCGTGAGTTACCTGTCAACATGTGGAATGGAGAAGAAAGTCCTTTCAAGCCAAAGTATGAGGCCGAGGAGCGTTTTCCCGTGAGGAACGTGAGAGTGGATCTGCCTCCGCTCTTTGCTGGAGATGGTAGCCAAAGTTTTCTCGGCTGGGTGAGACAGCTGGAGGTGGCCATCCAGGCTACTGTGGGCACCGGTTCGGACTGTGATGAGGAACTTGTTCGTATCTTGCCCACTCGTTTATGCAAGTCAGCGTTTCTCCTGTGGGACAGCCTTCCGGATAGAGTGAAGCATGATTATTCTGCCGTGAAAGAGAAGCTCGCTGGCGCATTTGGACAGAGACAGTTTATGGACCGCTTCAGAGCCACCCTCTCGGCTCGTCCCCGTGCTGCGGGCGAGAGCTTGGAAGTCTACGCAGCGGATGTGAGTCGCCTGGTGGCGGAGGCTTTCCCGGACTATGGGGTCGTGGCGCGCAGAGAGGAGAAGTTTCGGCGCTTCCTCGCAGGTCTGGATCCAGCGTTGAAGAGCAAGTGTTTGGAGCAAGGCGCCACTGATTTAGAAGAGGCGCTGACTATCGCGGAAAGATGCGAAAACGCTAGAGAGGCGCTACAGAGGGACTGTGTGAGTAACTATCCGTTCAATCCCCATGTTGCTGAGTCCAGAGCTGTGGTTCAGGCTGTTACGTCCAATGACAGTTTATATAAGGCTGTGGATCAATTAAGCCAAGAGATGCATGCTATGAGGATGGAAATGAAGAGTGTTTATGAAGAAAACCAGAGACTCAGGAACAGTGATATGGGCCAGAGGCAGTTCGTGGGGCGCCGGTCTGGTTTTGGGGGACGTTGTGAGTGCACCTGCGGTGAGCCTGGCTGTCAAGGAAGGTGGGCAATGCAGAGACGTCAGGGTCGCTCGCCCGAGCGCGGAGCTGTTTCCCCCCCTGGTAATCTCGCTGCGCGCACCCCACAACGTACAGGCCAGTCTCCCGAGTTCCGTCCACCACGAAGCAGGAGTCCCAGCCCCGGATGGCGTGCCCGTCGTGAGGAAGGATCCTGGAGGCGCGGTGTTCATTTCCAGCAGCAGAGTTCTCCCAGGGATCCCGAGCATCAGGGAAACTTCCAGTAGCTGGTGTTATGGCCCAAACACCGGCTTTTCCTCGGGAGGGCCCAATGTTCACAGATGATTTAGATGTGGGGTTGGAAAAATACCCTACTGCCTACGTCCGGGGGGTCATTGAAGGGGTGGAAGCGTCAGTGTTGGTTGACTCTGGGGCTTCTGTGTCTTTAATTAGTTCCGATTTCCGTATGGCGGTTCCCACACTGCGCGGACGGCCATTGAAGAAGGACTTTATTGGCTCACGGGCAGTAAATGGACAGACACTAGACACACTGGGCACTGTAGACGTGTCTCTTCACTTGGGCCGGGCCTCTTGGCGGCACACTTTTCATGTGCTGAGGGAGTCTACTCAGGCGGTCCTATTGGGGTTGGACTTTCTGGCAGTGAACAGGGCGTTGCTCGACCTGGGGCGGGGGGTTTTGGAGATCGGTGATACGTGCCTCCCCTTGCTTTACCAGGCTCAGCTTGTCCCTGAGTGCTGCAATGTATCTCTGGCCGATGGTGTGATTATACCTCCCTTAAGTGAGGCTTTGGTGCCAGTTCATGTGCGTCCACCGGGTGGTGCTAACAGGCCAGTAACTGACTTTGAGGGCTACTTGGAACCAAATGTCCCTGATTCGGCTGGTTTAGTCGTAGCTCATACCGTGGCTAATGTGAAGAATGGGGTTACTGTTGCGCGTGTTCTCAATCCCTCTGGGAAAGCAGTGGAGCTCAAGCAAGGGCTGCACATAGGGGAATTTTATCCTATTCACGAGGTTGGTGCACCATCGGTGGTGCCCACTTCACATAAATCTTCTGTCCCGTGTATGGTCACAGACTCTCCAGTCAACGAGCGACAGAGGGCTGAATTACAGGAGCTTTTGAGTCTTTTTAGTAACGTGTTTAGTACCCCAGATGGGAACACTGGGAAGTGCTCTTTAATCCAACACCACATTCGCACTGGTGATAACCCCCCAATTAAGCAGCGGGCATATCGGACGTCTCCTGAGAAAAGGGCAGAGATTGAGCGTCAGGTGGGTCAGCTACTGGCAGATGGCCTGGTGGAGGAGAGCTTCAGTCCCTGGGCCTCACCAGTCGTGCTCGTCAAGAAAAAAGGGGGTCAGTGGAGGTTCTGTATCGATTACCGCCGTCTTAATGCAGTTACAATTAAAGATTCGCACCCGCTGCCGCGTGTGGACGACAGCTTGGATGCGCTGGCCGGGTCAATGTGGTTCAGCACATTGGACTTTTCGAACGGATACTGGCAGGTGGAAGTTGCCGAGGAGGATCGTGAAAAGACCGTCTTCACGACCGGTAGGGGAATATACCAGTGGCGGGCCATGCCAATGGGCCTGTCCAATTCGCCTGCCACCTTCCAGCGTATGATGGAGCTAGTCCTGCGTGGTCTCCCCTGGCACACCTGCCTCGTATATCTGGACGACATTTTGATTTTCAGTCGAACATTTGAGGACCATCTTGGCCATTTGGAGGAGGTGCTGACAAGGATAGATTCGGCCGGACTGAGATTGAACAGCAGCAAATGTCATTTTGCAAAGGACCATGTAGTGTTTTTGGGACATGTGGTGTCTAGAGATGGTCTCCGCCCGGACCCTCGGAACACTGATAAAGTGAGGTCATGGCCGACACCGACCTCTGCTGCTGAGGTCCGTGCTTTTGTGGGCCTGTGCTCCTATTATAGACGTTTTGTGCAGAACTTTTCCCAGCATGCGGCTCCACTCAATCATCTGGCCAGTAAAAATGTCCCTTTTAAATGGACGTCAGAGTGTGAGGCAGCATTCACCTTTTTGAAACATCGTCTGACCTCCTCCCCTGTAGTGGTGTCACCAGACTTTTCTCGCCCCTTTACAGTTTACACCGATGCGTCAAAGGACGCTGTTGGGGCGGTACTGGCGCAGGAGAATGACGGTTTGGAACATGTAGTGGCCTACGCCAGTCAAGCCCTCACTCACACCCAGAAACGCTGGTCCACCTTTGACCGTGAACTGTGGGCGGTTGTCTGGGCTGTGCGCGAGTTTAAACATTATGTGGGGCTGTCAGCATTCACTATTGTTACTGACCATCGTCCTCTACTAGGCCTTCGTGGCATGTCCATTGACAATGACCCTACTGGTAAACGGGGGGCGGTGGATCCTGGAGTTGGATCCCTTTAATTGGGCCATCATCCACAAGGACGGATCACGGCATTTGAATGCGGATGCGTTGTCCCGCCGCCCTGCTGAGGCCACAGCTCCTGCCATTGACTGTGTGAATGTGATTGATGTTGGGGGGGCGAATAGTCATGACCAGGTTAGGGAGTCGTTACCCTCCTCTCCAGTGTACTCTCTCTGCTGTGATGAGGCCAGGTTGCGGTCCCTGCAGCAGGATGACCCAGACATCAGGGTAGTGCTCGGGTGGTTAGAGAGGGGAGTAGATAGGCCACCTCGTTGGGAAGTTAAGGGGTCTTCTCTCTGTCTCCGGAAATTGTGGGCTGAATTTGGTCGCCTCTCTATCAATGAGGGACTACTGTGTAGGACAGATAGCCCCACAGTCTCCGGCCTGGAGCGGTTGCAGGTTGTCATCCCGTCCTCTCTGGTCCCTGATCTACTCCAGCATCTTCACGGGGGGCCGGCTGCTGCGCACTTCTCTGTGGATCGGGTCTGGGAGAAGGCGAGGCAGTCTTGCTACTGGCCTTTTATGCTTAGAGACATAAGACAGTGGTGTGAGCAGTGTAGGGCTTGTCAGACTCGCAGGTCGCCTATTCCTAAGCCTAGGGCGCCCATGGGGGTTATGCAGGTGTGTCGTCCTCTGCAGCGTGTGGCGGCTGACATTTTAGAGCTACCTGTAACCTCTCGGGGAAATAGGTATGTTTTAGTTGTAGAGGACTACTTTACAAAGTATGTTGATCTGTATGCTTTGCCTAATCAGACAGCTAACACTGTTGCTACCTGTTTGTTTAATGACTATGTGTTAGTACATGGGGTTCCTGAGATGCTTCACACTGACCAGGGTCGCCAGTTTGAGGCTGAGGTTATCCAGACTCTGTGTAAACTACTGTGTATTAAGAAGACTCACACGACTGCGTACAACCCAAAGTCGGATGGCATGGTGGAGCGCCATAACAGGACATTGATTGACCAACTTGCTAAGATGTTACTGTCTCAAGGGGGTGAATGGGATGGATTTACAAAGCAGGTTGCTTTTGCGTATAACACTTCACCCCATGCTAGCACTAAGTTTTCTCCCTTTTATCTGATGCATGGCCGCGAGGCCCGGGTCCCAGCAGATGTTCTTGTATCTAACCCTGTGTTCAACTCTGTGGGGGCGGGATCTGTGTCTGACTATGGAGATATGTTAGTTAAAAGGTTGGAGTTTGCATTTGGTGCAGCCAGGCTTCATGCATTGGAGGCCTCTGAGAGACAAAAACTTTACCATGACCAGACAGTGTGTCATCGGCCGTACGGTGTTGGAGCGTTGGTGTGGCTGAACAATCCGACGGAGAGCCGCACTAAATTAGCGCCGCATTGGAGGGGCCCGTACCAGGTGGTGCAGGTATTCTCGTCAGGGGGTGAACCGGCACTGACCTATGACATCATTAATCCGCTGGATACTCAGGAGCGGAGTCAGGTGGTTCATCATGACAGACTCAAACCATACACTCTGCCGCTCCCTGCTCGGCCCCCTGCTAGTCGGGTTGTCGCATTGGACCCTTTCTTGCATGGAGGGGAGGCAAGTTTGGAGCCAGCGCTGGCCAAGCCGCAGCAGTCTCGGTCGGGACGTCTTGTTAAAGCCCCTTCACACCTCAAGGACTTTGTAGTTTGAGTTGGGCAGAGTCATTGTTCTTTTTGTGTGTTTTTTTTTTTTTTTGCTTTTGTTTATTATGGCCCTGGTTTGAGGCAGGTTCTGAGTTATTTTATGAACCGAGGACGTTTCTTATGAAGGGGGGGACATATGTAACATACTGTTTAGGATTTTACATCAGGCAGTTAAGTGGCCACCCTTGGTTATGTTGTTATGATTTGAATGTGAGAAATAAAGCCAGAGCCGGTACGGCTGCAGTTGGAAAAGCGTCTCTCGTGTGTGCTCTCAGAGCTAAATACATTTTTTACAACACTACCTAGACCTTCTCGGTTACACTAACATAGACTGTATACAGATGAACAATGCTAACATAGACTGTATACAGATGGACAATGCTAACATAGACTGTATACAGATGGACAATGCTAACATAGACTGTATACAGATAAACAATGCTAACACAGACTGTATACAGATGGACAATGCTAACCCGCTAGCTCAATCAAGCCCAATAGGGAAGTTTCCATGGAAGTTTTGCTCTATCACACCCTTTGTATGATTATTCCAATATGTTCTAAAAGTAATGAAAACACTGTTAGCCAAAGAATGTTGTTCCTGAGGGGACAGTTAAGTTGAACCATGAACCCTTAATTTCTATTGTGAATTATAACGTTATTATAATATTTCCTCCTAAGTTTGCGGTATAATTTTGGTCATATCACCCTGCCCTACTGATGAATTGTGATGCTCAAAACACTCAAACAAAAAACATCCCTACTTAAAACACGATCGAGTAAAAATAATAAGCTATGACAACTGCCCTAATCAAAAAGTGTATTTATCTGCACTTTCTTGAGTCTCTCTGCTGTTCACATAAACACACTGAAGCAGGAATGTGTGCTTCGTCATCTCTGGTCGTCGACAGCTGATAGAGCAGTGTCCACATGTTTCCCGTTATCTGCCAGCGCTCTAAAAAACTGAAAATACAGTAGTTTTATATGATATAATATAGTTTTATATAGTGTCTCTATCGCTTCTCAGCAAGAAGTTCCTGGGTTCGAATCCCGGTCGTAACAGGGTCTTTCTAAGTGGAATTTGCTTGTTCTCCCTGTGTCTGCCTAGGTTGCTGTAGTTTTGGTGTAGTCCCTACCACCAAAAACATGTACTATAGGCAAAAACCCTGTTACTACGGCGACCACGGCGATGACAGATGGATCAAATGCAGAGGACACATTGACTACTGTATACAGCATATTTTTTTGTGTCAGTCCTAAAAGCAGAGGTTACAGATCCGTGTAGCAGAGCATGTAAACAGGAAGACCCGCTATTGTCACAGACGGGAGGATTACACGACCCATCTGCATCCCTGTGACATCACATTTATGCTCTTCCCATTAATACAATCATATCTAAAGGCTTTTCTTTGAACCCTGGTGCCCTGTTGACTCGGCCATGTCCGCTTCGAACAGCCCCTTTTGGTGATGTACTGTAGCATTTAGAGACATCACTAAATACTTCGACTGCATTTCATAACAGAGCATAATACGTTATTTATTTATTTATTTCACTTGTGGACACGACAAAACACCACATGTTACAAATATATTTCCACTTATTGTAGTCCTGTCGCACAAATGAAAAGAAGCAGAAATAATGTTTTTTTTTTTTTGTATTTTAATGCTTGCTCCATTCTTCCTTATGTACAAATTACATAATGAATTGAATAACAAATAATTAAAGACTGCAGCACTCCTTCAAATATATATAGGTCTGTAATTAAACAATAGTTGGACGATTACTTTTGGTTACATTTATCGTCATTGGTGCTCCCTATGTACTGATGGTGGATGAGTGGTTAGCACTCAGCTTCTCTGCAAGAGGGTCCTGGGTTCGAATCCCAACCAGGAATCTGAGAATCAAACACAGGAAATGCCATAATAAGTAAGTGTTATCATGAAAATGTAATTGTTGCTGTGCATACTAGACCCAAACAATAGATATCAAAGAGGACATTTAATGACACAGAATTATAACAAGATACATACAGACATAACAGGAAATATCATTTCCCAAGGAGAGATGGTTGGAGAGAGAGAGATCCCTAGAGGCTCTGGACCTCAGTATTAGGCCTGCTATATGGAAAATAGAGAGTTGACACAGACCAAGAGCCCAATCTAGTCCATTCCAGCTCTTTACAGTATATACTGCTGTGAGGTCACTCTCGGGTTCCACTGGATTGGTCAGGGGGGTCAGTCATAGAGGGGGACAATCCATACCAACAGTAAGTTAGGAAGTAATCTTTATATCTACATAGCGCCAGCCTCAAAGCTTTTTACAGTGGTTTTTTTTGGGGGGCCTTTCTGAGTGGAGTTTGCACTGTCTGCGTAGGTGTCCTCCAGGTTCTCCGGTTTCCCCTACCACTAAAAACATGTACACATTGGTCTGCCATGTGCCTCCTGTAGTCCTCCTTGTTTGGCAGTAGCCCCGTTAGTAGAGAGAGTGTCCCCTGAGGTTGGCAGTTTGAATCCTGCTCCTGACACAAACATCATTGGATCAGATTGGTGATTACTACTGTGTGTCCTTTGGCAAGACACTTAACCCGCCTCCGTGTGTATAAATACGTTTGTGAATGAGTGGTTTGTTCCTTAATGTGAAGTCCATTGAGTGTCTCGGAGAAGTAGGAACATAAATATACAGTGGTCTCTGGTTTATTGCCGCGGTTACGTTCTAAAAATAACCTGAAATAAGCAAAATCCTTCAGCAGCTGTAGGTTTTAAGGCTGTAAGACACTTTATACACTTTTTAACCACCTGAACTCACGACTGCTGAAGTGAGAGAGACCAGAGAGAGACCAGAGAGAGACCAGACAGACAAGAGAGAGACCAGAGAAAGAGACTAGAAAGAGACCAGAGAGAGACTAGAGAAAGAGACCAGAGAGAGACCAGAGAGAGACCAGAGAGAGACCAGAGAGAGAGACCAGAGAGAAACCAGAGAGAGACCAGAGCGAGACCAGAAAGAGACCATAGAGAAACCAGAGCGAGACCAGAGCGAGACCAGAGAGAGACCAGAGGGAGACCAGAGAGAAACCAGGGAGAGACCAGAGAGAAACCAGAGCGAGACCAGAGGGAGACCAGAGAGAGAGAGAGACTGTGGCAGTCCTCTGAACTAATCACAAGTTTTCTTCTGACATTAAATAAAGGTGACTCCTGTTATAGCGGTTTCATGACAGTGACAACACATTATCGTCTCTGGATTTTACATGTGAAACTTTTCCCAGAGAAAAGAAGATAAAGTAAAGCCGATGAAAGAATGTATAGTTTTGTGACATGGCACTAATCCGTGGTCCATCTGTGCGGCCTCACAGTAGACCAGCCCCGTTTCGTACCTGACAATTTGGACTTCTGGCCTTCCATCTGCAGTTTGACTTGTTCAGATCAGAATTTAGTGTTTTTTATGTAAATTTGGTACATAAAAAATTAACACGGTCTTAAAACAAGCCATTTAGTCTCCTTTCTCGAACTTTACATTTTTACATACTGTAAATTTTTGCCAAAGTTGAGGAATTTTGTTTTCTGTTTCGACTCAAGTCAAGCTGTTCTGCTCTTTAAAATTATCTGCGTTTACCATCTCGCCAGCTACATTAGCCCCGTAGACTTTTTAACAAAAACCAAATGAAATGCAATAGAGTCTAAATTTATATGTAGTAAATAAATATATATCTTCTCAGAAACTCGGACTCACTAAACTCCTTCAAAAAACAGCTAAAAACTCACCTCTTCCTCCAAGCATATACTCTTAGTTTCAACTTTATCCTCTTCTTTCCTGCTTTTAGATTTTTAGTTTTGTGCGTCTGTCTAAACGTGTGTGTGTGTGTGTCCTGAATTGTGAAGCGTCTTTGAGTTTTTGAAAAGCTTTATATAAAACCGATGTGTTATTATTATTATTATTAAAGTAAATGACTAGATTCCAGAGGGTCTGAGCTGTACGAGATGCAGCTGTAGTTGGCTGGATGACACTGTACACTTGTGTTTGTTTGGTCATAATCCAGGACACTCTACATTCAACATTTACTCTCTATCAATATTTTTGGACGTTAGTTAGTAAGTATGTAGTAAGTAATAGTATTTATATGCCGCTTTTTTTAGTGGTAGGGGAAACTGGAGCACCCGGAGGAAACCCACGCAGACAAAGGGAGAACATGCAAACTCCACTCAGAAAGGCCCTGTTCCGACCGGGATTCGAACCCAGGACCTTCTTGCTATCCACTCAGCCACCGTGCCGCAAAATGAGTCATCTGCCCTTTATGGACCAATGGCTCTATATGTTTCTTAATCATTGCATTTCCTCTGATTAAACGGTTTAATTTTCTGATCTGTTATTGCCGATTCCAACGGTTTTGTAAAGTCCTCCTGTAAGATAAGAAAACTACTGTTGCGACTTAGGGCTATACCAAAATAAAATGTAATTGAATTGTTTAGGATCTCAATAGCTCTTTGGACTTGGCTAAGCAGGGGGGCACATAACAAGTCTCTGAGGGCCGCAATTGTCCCGCGGGCCTCAGGCTGAGTTTACACGGAGACAATGTGGCAGTAAAACGGTATAGTTGGATGTCGGTTTCTACCAACCGTTCATACGAAGACTGTGTTACAGGTGAAAACGTAAGTGTTCAGATCCAGCCTGCAGAGTGGGACAACTCAGAAACGCTGCACAGCGGGGGCTCTTTCACACCCGCGAGAGGGGAAAAGGTGTGAAATCCCCCTCTGCTCTGACCCCCGCCTCCGCGCTGCTCCCCGCACGTAAATTTGGACATGCGCAGTAGCGGAGAACAAACATCAACAACAATGGCGGCGGTCACACTAACTAGCTTTGTGAGCTTCCAGCGCGGGACAGAGGATAATTCTACTCCTTCGTTCGTCCAAACGAGACCACGCAAAGCTCTAGGTTCAGTTCCCATTTTCACAGATGCTGTTAAAATGCAGAATGATGTTGGTGCGTTCTGAGGGTCCGGCACAGGAAGTGAGTACACTGCCGAGAGGGGGGCTGGGCACGGGGCTGGGGGTCGTGTGAGTGTTGTAAAGTTCCTCTGCCCACTACTGGCCGGGCGCTAGAACTGCATCGTTTTTCAACCTCATGTGAACGCTGAGAAATTTGCATTAGGAGCCAGGTCGTTTCTGTTAATAGCCTGGAAACGTCTGTGCAGCGTCTCAGTATAAACAGGGCCTTAGTTTGGCCTTGCCTGACATGTGGCGTGTAATCCAGCGCGTGGTCCTAATGCACCACAGCTCCAGAGCTGCATAATGGAGCAGCCTCACGAAATCTGCACTCTTTCCTGAAACTGAAGTAAAGATGCAACCCAAGGATTATCTCGGCAAATCACACTGATACAATTTACTGTTAATCCCACGTTCCTGTCAAAAAGGCAGTACAAGTTCTCTATTTTGGCATTTTATTTGCTATTTATTCAGACATCTTGCCTAATTATTCTATTCTATCTATCTATTGTGTGTCTCTTATTCTAGTATATCCCCATACTGGGGGGGGTGCTGTAGTAAAGGAAGCTCTTCAAACCGTTCTGGTTCGGAGTAAGTTTGGCAGCAAATGTTATCGTTGGCAAACATGTTGTGGCTCTACTCCCCACGGACTCCGTTAGTGGCAAAGGACATGGCTAAAGCTAGGCTAAAACCTCACTCGCTCAGGCGCATTACATACATCACGGTTTTATGGTGAGACCAGGCTACGTACTTAGAGATTCTTTTGCCATTTTGGTCACGTGTACATTACAACATAAAAACCTGCGGCCTGCATTCTATTTATGTACAACGTTTATTTTATTTTAAAATGTAGCTGGTGCTGCGAATTTGGTTATGAATTAAATGTATACGTTAATTTACTTAATATATTTCTACTTTTATAACATGTTTGCGCCGCGAGCCTAATCAAGTTCCTAGCTTGTTACTTTCGCTTAGTTAAAATGGCAATAACAAGTTTTCTGATTTTGATTCTGAATAAACAGGTGCATTCAAACACCGGAGAATTACAGTAACATATCTCCTTTAAAAATGTGTATTTCAGTCAGAAGGGATAGAAATGACACCATAATAAAAAGTACAAAAGTCATTTCACTTTCTGTCTATGTTTCTATATTTGATTTCATTCATTTTCTTTGGAGGAGAATCGTTCGGCGTCCTCCTTGTGTGTGAACTGCAGTCCCCTCCTCTCTCTTATCCCATGATGCAGTGCTGCTGACCTGGCTGTTTTGCCCCATGTGTACACGGACAGATGGAACCGTGTTGGTGGAATGTGTCACTGTTGCTAGGAGAAGTGGAAACATTCTGTGAGCTGTTAATGCAAACAGATCAAGGTGGGAGAGGCGACGGGAGCATGATACAACAAGACTGTAGTGTCTGTGAAAATACACTGTACACAGATGGACAATGCTAACTCGCCTTATCTTTTAGCCCAGAAGCTGTTTGTAAAACTCTCACCATGTTGGACTTTAAAATGTCCGTGGGGCCAGAGTACTAGTGACATAAAGTATTTTTTTTCCCATTAGGACATAAGTGTAACCTCTTTGTGAATAGCACACACCTAAAGCTTTCTGAATAGTATAAATGTGGAGATAAACTGTGAAGCTTGTAATAATAATAAACATTCATTCATTCATTCATTCATTTTCTACAATGTCAGTAGACATTAGTGGGAGCAGTTGGAGTAGGTCCCGTGGTGGGTTCGAACCCACGACCTTCAGGCCCAAAGGCCAATGCTCTACCAACTGAGTTACTGTTGCCCCTTAAACACTTTTGTTCAAAAACAAAAAAAAAGTCTGTGGTTTTGTACTTTCTGTGATCCATATTGTGACATTGTCAATCCAGATATGAGCCAAATGAGGATTGACCAATCAGAGGCCTTGTTTCCTCTGGGAAACGCCAGCTTGTGTTCGCAACCATGTTAGCAACATGCCTGCTAAAACAATCAGAGAAAAAAAAGAAAACTATATAAGGAAATTGGCTCAAATCGGCCTCTTAAAGCTAACAATATAGTGATGTCACACTCCGTCAGTCCTATTGTACGCTCTCTAAGATCCAGGACTGAGGCTGTAGACCCAGGACTGAGGCTGTAGATCCAGGACTGAGGCTGTAGACCCAGGACTGAGGCTGTAGATCCAGGACTGAGGCTGTAGATCCAGGACTGAGGCTGTAGACCCAGGACTGAGGCTGTAGATCCAGGACTGAGCCTGTAGACCCAGGACTGAGGCTGTAGATCCAGGACTGAGGCTGTAGATCCAGGACTGAGGCTGTAGACCCAGGACTGAGGCTGTAGACCCAGGACTGAGGCTGTAGACCCAGGACTGAGGCTGTAGACCCAGGACTGAGGCTGTAGATCCAGGACTGAGGTTGTAGACCCAGGACTGAGGCTGTAGACCCAGGACTGAGGCTGTAGATCCAGGACTGAGGCTGTAGATCCAGGACTGAGCCTGTAGATCCAGGACTGAGGCTGTAGATCCAGGACTGAGGCTGTAGACCCAGGACTGAGGCTGTAGATCCAGGACTGAGGCTGTAGACCCAGGACTGAGGCTGTAGATCCAGGACTGAGCCTGTAGACCCAGGACTGAGGCTGTAGATCCAGGACTGAGGCTGTAGATCCAGGACTGAGGCTGTAGACCCAGGACTGAGGCTGTAGACCCAGGACTGAGGCTGTAGACCCAGGACTGAGGCTGTAGACCCAGGACTGAGGCTGTAGACCCAGGACTGAGGCTGTAGATCCAGGACTGAGGTTGTAGACCCAGGACTGAGGCTGTAGACCCAGGACTGAGGCTGTAGATCCAGGACTGAGGCTGTAGACCCAGGACTGAGGCTGTAGACCCAGGACTGAGGCTGTAGACCCAGGACTGAGGCTGTAGACCCAGGACTGAGGCTGTAGATCCAGGACTGAGGCTGTGGACCCAGGACTGAGGCTGTAGATCCAGGACTGAGGCTGTAGACCCAGGACTGAGGCTGTAGATCCAGGACTGAGGCTGTAGACCCAGGACTGAGGCTGTAGATCCAGTACTCAGGTTGTAGATCCAGGACTGAGGCTGTAGACCCGGGACTAAGTAGTGCAGCCCACAAGTCCAGGCCGGGGCAGACCAGTTCACAGGTGCAGTTCATTATACAGTATTTATCTTCTTATCCACTGACTTTCTTCTCTGTCGGCAGCTTCGTGATGGTGCTGGTGTGTCTCATCTTCAGTGTGCTGTCCACCATAGAGCAGTACGCAGACTTCGCCACAGGAACTCTCTTCTGGATGGTGAGGTTTTTGGTTCAAATCTAAGTGAAGATTTGGGAATTCTCCGGTTATGCGTTTGAGTGTGGACATAAATAACCGGAGTATTCGGCTGTACGTCACTACCAGCGTGCTGCTCTGACGTCACACGCGCGACCTGTGTTTACATCAGAAACAACATGGAGGCCATCAAAACCGCTTTTGTGTGTGCCCCACTCTCCTGCTCGGTGTCCGACGCGGCATCAGATGGCTCCGTAGTAGCGGACGTAGAAGGCGAGGGAGCGGGGAGGCTATCATCCAAGTCATTTGTTTCAATGCCCGACGACATGGTTGTAGTGGCGGGGGACCCACCCCATATTTGTTCACATAACTCAAAATAAAGGTGAACGACTCTGCCATACCCGCTTTTGCGTCCACTGTCAATTGCCTGGCGATATTTGCTCCTGATGGCCTTTATTTTTGTTGTCAGGATAGCCCGAGTTAGCTCTCCGTTTCCATGGGGAAAGTTATTGGAGGTCTCCGCGGGATAATGCTCCAAATATAGAGTCAATAAGTCCACATACTTGTTTTGGCAAGATTCCCAATCAATGTTTTCTTGTGTCTTGTTGACCTTGTACTCTAAAAGTACGTTTAGGAGCAATTCTGCCTCCTTGTCAGTCCACACGAACGAGCCTGGCGCCATGTTTCATGTTTTGCGGAAGTGACGTCAAGGACGGAGACTAGCTGTAATTGGATAGAATTTGGGGAACTACTGCTGCCTGTAGGTTTGAAATGTAATTGACAACGCATGTATGCGGTTAGGTGTGGATGCCGTTTTTTTAAAAACCGAGGCTGTGTGGACAGAAGTTTTTTTTTAGGCGGAGGGCGGATTTATAAATGCCCTGCTACGTGTAGACAGGGCCTCAGCTGCCAAACATTATGTCTTGTGTTATTATAGTTTGATGGATAACATGAGTCCTGGAGAAGCCTACCCAACTTTTTAGTACACACACTTACTGCAGGCATACACACACACGCACACACACACACACATTTACTACACGCACACACACAATCATAAACTATAGACAAACATTTACTACAGACACAAACGCACACACACACTAACTACAGACACACACACATTTACTACAGACACAAACACACACACACACACACACTAACTACAGACACACACACATTTACTACAGACACACACACACATACATTTACTACAGACACACACACACACACACGTTTATTTCAGACGCACACACACACTCACTACAGACACACACACACACACACACCCATTTACCACAGACACACACACACACATTTACTACAGACACACACATTTACTACTGACACACACACGTGTATTACACACACACAGACATTTACTACAGACACACACACGTTTACTTCAGACGCACACACACTCACTACAGATGCACATGCACCCTTTTACCACAGACAGACACACACACATTTACTACACACACACACACACACACACACACACATTTACTACAGATACACACACACATTTACTACAGACACACACACACACATTTACTACAGATACACACACACATTTACTACAGACACACACACACATTTACTACAGACACACACACACATTTACTACAGACACACGCACATTAACTACACACACACACACACATTTACTACAGACACACACATTTACTACAGACACACGCACACACACACACACATTTACTACAGATACACACACACACATTTACTACAGACACACTCACACACACACACACACACACACACATATTTACTACAGATACACACACACACATTTACTACAGACACACTCACATACACACACACACACATATATTTACTACAGATACACACACACACATTTACTACAGACACACTCACATACACACACACACATATTTACTACAGACACACACACAGTTACTACAGACACACACACACACACACACACACACACACACACACATATTTACTACAGACACACACACCCATAGAAGAAAAGTTCTGTCATGTTCCTGTAGTTCCCTTCTTCTTCCACTTGGGGGTGATAGAGATCTCTTGTTACCAGTCTCTCTCTGTCTCTCTCGCTCTCTCTCTCTCTCTCTCTCTCTCTCTCTCTCTCTCCTTCACTTTTCTCCAAACACTCAGAGTAAAACACGGATGTAACTTATTGTCGGACTTAGCAGACGTTACATTCATGCATTATACCATGTGAAAGCTCTTGCTCTTGCTGGTACTTGCTGGTAAATGGCTTATTAGGCCATTAGTGCTGCTAAGTGATGGAATAAATCCGGGGTTTGGAGCAGGTAAAGAAAATTATTGCTGCTTTTTGGAAACTTTACAAAGAACTGGCTCCATCCGTCTCTCTGTGGTGCTCAGAGCTAGCACCCGGAGCGGACAGCATGGATCAGCTGACATCTATATGAACTGTGCTGCACTCGGGGGCATCCAGGGGACAAGAGGAGAGGGCGGCTTCTCCCAGGGCGGGCTCTTACTGCACTCTATATGTACCTGAGGCTGTATATCCAGGACTGAGGCTGTAGACCCAGGACTGAGGCTGTAGATCCAGGACTGAGGCTGTATATCCAGGACTGAGGCTGTAGATCCAGGACTGAGGCTGTAGATCCAGGACTGAGGCTGTAGATCCAGGACTGAGGCTGTGGATCCAGGACTGAGGCTGTGGATCCAGGACTGAGGCTGTAGATCCAGGACTGAGGCTGTAGATCCAGGACTGAGGCTGTAGATCCAGGACTGAGGCTGTAGATCCAGGACTGAGGCTGTAGATCCAGGACTGAGGCTGTAGATCCAGGACTGAGGCTGTAGATCCAGGACTGAGGTTGTAGACCCAGGACTGAGGCTGTAGATCCAGGACTGAGGCTGTAGATCCAGGACTGAGGCTGTAGATCCAGGACTGAGGCTGTAGATCCAGGACTGAGGCTGTAGATCCAGGACTGAGGCTGTAGATCCAGGACTGAGGTTGTAGACCCAGGACTGAGGCTGTAGACCCAGGACTGAGGCTGTAGATCCAGGACTGAGGCTGTAGATCCAGGACTGAGGCTGTAGATCCAGGACTGAGGCTGTAGACCCAGGACTGAGGCTGTAGATCCAGGACTGAGGCTGTAGATCCAGGACTGAGGCTGTAGATCCAGGACTGAGGCTGTAGATAAAGGACTCGGCGGGCTCTTTCTACACATATGTTCCGAGGGATGTTTGAGCCAGACTGCAGTACTCCAGTGCAATACTAGAACATAGTCTGTGCAATAGTCATTTTAAACAATACAGAATGTGCTAAATGGGACCACATGTGTCACTCTTTCGCAATTATTTAACATGTACATGTTTCATGAGAAAGTTACATGTTTTATGGTAGCCTTGTATCCTTGGAATTTGGGAATTAAATACATCCTGAAAATATGTTTTTCTTTACAAAACACTTCTCGATATTGGCAAATATTTGTAATCGGACTTAACAGAAAAATGAATATTGGAAATCAATATTGGCCAAAATCTCCATATCGGTGCAGCCTTAAGAATTACCCAATGCTTTTGTATGGAGTGTTCTTTCCTCTCAAAAATAGCTTTACAGGATGGTCCAAAAGTTGCTCTTGGTCCAACAGATGGTTCCAGACGTGTGTCAATGCTGAGGGGAGTGTACTATTTTGGACCAGTCTAGTTTAGCCGCTGTGGACTTCTGAATGCACTCGTTAAATGAATGGGGCTAGTGCAGCTAACGCATGTGTGATAGACCCAAATATGTGCAACCACATTTGTATTGCATTCTTACAGCAATGGTTTGTTTGAATTTTTAGATAACTAGCTTATATTTAGTAAATGTTGTTTTGTTAAAATTTAGCGAGTATCCAGCGGGTGTGGCTGCCGGATTCGTCCGAAAGTTCAGTTTGCGCATGTCCAAAAGTGTAAATAAACATGTAAACAGTTTGTCTTGTTATACACAGATTATATTATTGATTTGTGCTCATATGTATCAAGGCTTATTACAATAAATGGCAGAAAAAGAGCTCCGAGAAAAAAATACTTTTAGTAGCCACGAAGCTAGCGCCCAGATGTGTTCAAAGCAGTGGCGGCTGGTGGAATTTTCTACTGGGGGGGCTATGAATATGATGACTAGATATATACCAGCAGTAAGTAAGTTTACACTGACTGTTGTGACTGAAGCCTCACACGAGAATGAAATATTTATCTTCCCGAACATAGCTAATTTGAGGGCATTTTGCATGTGGATACCAGTCTGCTCATGCTTCTTTGCCTTTTCTAAAAAGTGCTTCAGATCAGTCATACCTGTCTTGATCCATGCTGGGTCAGATCCTGATGTTTGAAACAAGAGGCATGGAAAGCAAAATAAAGCATTAGCCTCGCTACATGCTGCTAGCCAAGATTTGGCGCTGAACCAGGTCCTGGAAAAAGTACGAGTGTACCGTCTCCCCCTGTCGCTGGACTGCTGACTAATGGTAATATTTGGCTGATCAGGTCCAAGCTCTTTAACCTCAACCTTCTCCTGGTATGATCTTCTCTCAAACGGTAAACTTGTTTTGCCCCCTCAGTGATTCTGCGCCCCCAAATCGTCTTATCTCTTGCATTGAAGAGGAGCTACTGCGCATGTACAACTTTTAACGAGAGTCCATAGACAGCTCAGGGCGCAATCTTTTGCGCCCTGAGGCGGAAATACGTCCTCAGTCCGACACAGACAACGCTGATGAGCTTAATCAATCCAACTCAGCATAAACTATAAAGTATTTCTTCCACATCTGAAATAAAACACACATACATTTCGAAATATTTTAATGTTATTATTTGTTTTAACGTTTTATTCAAGGTAACATGGCAAGTTGTGAGTGGTGGGGCGGCGCCCTAGCGCCCTCTATTGGCCGGCCGCCACTGGTTCAAAGGCACACGGAAAGGAGGCTAGCACGTAGACAGTTTAATTCTTGATTAGATTCACTGTCCTTTACTTGTTTAAATATCATGCACCTGTTATGTGAATCCCT